TTACATCGGGGAAATAAAACAGCCACTGGCCAAAAGGATGGCCCAGCACAGAAGATCAACATCATCAGGCCAGGACTCTGCGGTCTACACTCATCTCCAGGTCAGAGGTCACTCTTTCAGGGATGAAGATGTTCACATCCTGGACAGAGAGGAACGATGGTTTGAGAGAGGAGTAAAGGAGGCAATCTTTGTGAAAATAAACCGTCCATCGTTAAACAGGGGTGGAGGCCTCCGGGTTCAACTGTCCCCCTCTTACAATGCTGTGATTGCTAGTATCACTCAACCCTCTGTGAACAGTAAACAGCCATCAGTGTGCTATTGATCCATTGTTAGGCTGATGGTCCTTCTTGAGCATGTGATCAGCTGGTTTTGGTTGTCAGCAGCAAAACTGGTTGATCCACTCTGAGACGGTGCTATTTAAGAGACTGAGCTGAATATAGCTCCTCAGACTGAGGAAGTCTCTCGGATGAGAGATGAAACGTTTCTACATTTTTTTGCTTTGTTTTGTTTTTTGTTTTTTTGAATGTCCAGAGGACCAGATTGAACTTTTTTGGAACTCTACCGTTGGTAGTGGATGTCCCAGCGCCTGCTGCATGGTCTCTGTGGCTTCTTATACTCCTCCTGCATGAAGAGTTGATGTGCTGCAGCTGCTGCCAATTAAGTGTCCTGAGTGGAGGAAGGAAGAAGGCAGGACAGAACTCCTACATATCCTCCCCCTCAAGCATCGCCTCCTGGCTATCTGACGCGTTTCTCCTGGTGGTCCTTGAAGAACGTGGTGATGAGACTTGGGTCTAGGATAAAAGACCTTGGAATCCAAGAGCGTTCCTCGGGGCCGTACTCCTCCCAATCGACCAAGTAATGGAACCCCCGACCCCGGCGTCTCACATCCAGATTACAGCGGACCATAAAGGCAGGATGATTGTCAATGAGACAGGGAGGCGGAGGGAGGTCGGAGGAAGGGCACAGTGGGCTCTCGGTACAGGCTTCAGTTGTGACACGTGGAAAGTAGGATGAATCCTCATAGAAGCTGGCAATTGAAGTCTGACGGCAGTGGGGTTGATTAAGCGTGTGATGGGGAATGGACCAATAAGGCGGGGGGCCAGCTTGTGGGGGGTGTCTTTCAGGTGAATGTTTTGAGTGGACAGCCAAACCTTTTGTCCAACCTGGTAGGTGGGAGCTGCTGATCAGTGGCGATCTGCAATCTTCTTATTTTGGGTTGCTGTGTGGAGGAGGGCAGTCTTTGTTTGTTGCCAGACCTTACAACACCTTCTAAAATGGTGTTGAACAGATGGAACTGCCACGTCAAGCTTTTAACTAGGGAACAAGGGGGGAGAGTAGCCTAAAGAGGCCTCAAACGGGGACATGCCAGTGGCTGAAGAAGTGTGTGTGTTGTGTGCGTACTCAATCCATACCAAGTGTTGGCTCCATGTGGACGGGTTGTCCTCCACCACACATCTGAGGGCGACCTCCAGCTCCTGATTGGCACGCTCGGCCTGGCCATTTGACGGGGTATGGTAGCCTGACATCAGGCTGACAGAAGGCCCTAAACAGTTGCAAAAGGTTTTCCATACCTGAGATATGAATTGGGGTCTTCTGTCAGAGACCACATCTGAAGGGATGCCGTGAACCCGGAACACGTGTTGGACCAGCAGTTGTGCAGTCTCAAAGGCCGAGGGGAGCTTTGGCAGGGGAACAAAATGTGCTGACAGTTAGAATAACAGTAGTACCCTCCGAGGGGGGAAGGCCAGTTAAAAAGTCCAGGGAGATGTGGGACCAGGGTCGACTAGGGGTGGGTAGAGGTAGTAGTTTGCCAGCAGGTGGTTGATTACTGTTCTTATGCCTGGCACACGTGGGGCAGGCAACCACATATTCCTTGAAGTTGTCTGCCATGGATGGCCACCAGAAGTGTCTCTTGGCCAAAGACAGCATGCATGTGACTCCCGGGTGGCAAGACAGTTTGTGAGTGTGTAACCAGTGGAGTACCTTAGTCTTTATGGTAGTGGGAACAAACAAAGTTCCAGCAGGACCCGTTCCAGGGTCCGGTTCTATCTTCTGGGCTTCCAAGATGTCCTTCTCGATGGTCCATGTGAGGGACCCAACGACACAGGATGAGGGTAGAATGTTCTCCTCCTGGTCACAATCTTCAGGAGGGGAAAACTGGTGGGAGAGAGCGTTGGGCTTCACATTCTTGGAGCCAGGTCTGTAAGTCAAAACAAAATTAAATCGGGTAAAAAACAAGGACCATCTGGCTTGCCTGGGATTTAATCCCTTAGAGTCTCAGAGGTAAATGAGATTCTTGTGGTCTGTCCAGATGAGAAATGGTGTTTCGGTGCCCTCAAGCCAGTGCTGCCACTCTTACAAGGCCAACTTAACTGCAAGAAGTTCACGGTTGCTGACGTCATAGTTTTGTTCTGCTGGAGAAAGACATCGGAAGAAAAACGCACACGGGTGCACCTTGTTGTCCTTGGGTGAACTCTGAGATAACACGGCTCCCACGCCTGTATCAGTGGCATCCACTTCCAAAATAAACTGTTTGGTGGGGTCAGCGTGGCATAGAATGGGGGTAGAGGAGAAAAATCTCTTTAGCTCACCAAACGCAGTGTCCGCGTCCTGGGTCCATTTAAAAGTCCGAAGGGTGGAGGTCAGCTGAGTGAGGGGGGCAGTAATCCTGCTGTAGTTCTTTATAAACCTCCTGCAAAAATTGGCGAAGCCCATAAATCATCGTTGTAGCTACTTGCGAGTTTCCGGTGTTGGCCACTCCACCACTGCCTTGGTTTTCTCTGGGTCAGCACGATACTGTCCTCCTTCAAAAATGAATCCAAGAAAAGACACAGACTTGACATGAAATTCACATTTTTCTGCTTTAACGAACAGCTGATTTTCGTATAGTCTCTGGAAAACAGATCTATATGATGGACATGTTCCTCTTCATCTTGAGAATAAATCATTATATCATCCAAGTACACAAACACAAATACATTCAAAAAGTCTCTTAAAACATCATTTACAAGCGTTTGAAAAACTGCAAGTGCATTAGTCAGACCAAAGGGCATGACCAAATATTCAAAATGACCCAAGGGTGTTTTAAATGCAGTTTTCCCACTCGTACCCCCTTTTGATACAAACGAGGTGATAGACATTGCGGAGGTCAAGTTTAGAGAAGATCTTGGCTTGATGCAGCTGTTCGTGGATGGAGTCAATCAAAGGCAACGGGTATTTATTTTTAATGGTGATTTGATTTAACCCTCTATAATCAATGCAGGGCCATAGAGACTTATCTTTTTTTAGCTACAAAGAAAAACCCGGCCCCCACTGGAGAAGTAGAAGGGCAAATAATCCCTGAGTTTAAAGATGACCGCCCATGACCGCCAGCTGAAGAGGAAGATGCAGCGCGCAGAGGTTTCAGCTTCACCAGCTGACCAGTACGTTTTCCCAGGCGTCTGAAGCAAGATCTCCGGGCAGGGAGGTGAGGAGCGCAGCGAAGGTAAGCTGGCACGTCTGCCAGCAGGGGGGGAGGAGGGGGGGTCCAGAGGTACGCTGGTAATGGTCAAAATAAGCGACTTCAGTGACAGAAAAACAAAGATCCAAAAGTTGTTGTCTGTCATACACCAGCAGAGAGTTGATGTCACAGATGTGAAATGCAAAAAACAAAAATTATCCGAACACCATCAGCAGAGGTGGATTGAAAGCCATGTACACGGGCGCCATCTTACCGGAACTGACGGACGTCCGTTAAACTGACATAAAACTGAAAGTCCCTCTGTGACTTCCATACACCATACTGAATAAATTCAGCTCATTAACCTCAGTGAGTGTGGCTTGTCTCTGGTCAGACTTCTGTCACCTTTCCCAACTCTCCAGCAGACTTGGCCTCACTAAAACTGGCAACTCAGCCTGAGGACATTCAGTTCAGAGATCAAAACTCCTCTGTGCATGGATTCAGGTCCAAGCCTGGTGTTCCAAGGTCAGATGTTGGAGATGGCAATTGAATGACTAAAATGTTGAAGAAAAATGTTCTCTTTTAATCTTACTTACTCAAAAGGAAACACACTCGACAGCAGAAGATTTTTAACTGGTATTTACTTGCCTGGTCAGATTTTCAGAACAGGTTACATACACACATACACCCAGTACTACACACATACACACATGACAACCAGTCAGGAGAGTCTGCTGAGAGTCGTATGTGAAGCTTGTTTTTATGCTCTTATCAGCTCAGCCGAGCTCACAGACTTGGAGGTGTCCTTGGAGTGACAACTGTATGGCTGCAGCTTCAGCAGCTCCTCGTCCAGCTTTCTACTAATCCCAACATACGGTTCATGGGCAAAGTTAACATTCTCAGGCATAATAGTTAAAAACATCCATAACCCTTGAGCAAAAATTTCCCATCAATAAACATGAGGGAACAAGTGGGCTCAGGTTTCATCAGCGGGTCACAAAGTCAGCATCATAACTTCATTCAAGATGCTAAACCAAAACAAGTCCTTGTGGAAGTCATGGTGGCGGGGTGGGCGGATTGAAACGTGTTCAAACCTCTGTTGGTTGAAGGTGGAACCTACAAAGGTCCACAGCCCCAACGAGCAAAAAGAGAGCATTTAAACTCTACAGGAAGATCTGAGCTGGGTTCACAGACCTTACAATGTGAAGGTCAATGTAGCAAAACAAATACAGACTGGAGAACAATTATTTTAATGCTTTTTATTATGCTGTTAAAAACAATGTCCATACATACAGGAATCAAATAAACAGTTCATTTTCTAACATTGATGTACGTTTCGAAGAGCTGATTGGTGCAGATAAACTCTAAATAATAAAAATCTGTTAAAGTTCAACATAACATCCAAATAAAAAATAACTTACAACTAAACATTAAATAACCTTAATCCACTCAATTATAGCTACAATGATGAAATTCATATTAACAACATTGTCCCTTTGATTAAACTTCACCGTGCTTTGATAAAAAAGTTAAATATAATCTGGTTCTGAATCAGGACCGGTCAAAGGTCCGTGGTCATCATGGAGGTCTTCAGCCTGTCAGTCAGTCCGGTCACCGTTGAAATCACCTGAAAAGACAAGATCAAAGTTAAAAACAACAGAAAGATTAAATCCTTTCATCTGGATCAGTTTCTTTAAGTGAGAAATGTTTTGTCCCCCATCCAGAGGACTTCCTCAGTCTACAGCCTGCCAGCCAGATCTGTCCCACAGGTAGCCTTCACTGCTGTTTCAAGACAACCTCCAAGATCCTACCAGGATCAAAGTTAGTGTGTTCTCTAAAAAGTATGTCTGTTGTTTCAGTCAAACACCTGTAACGTCTTCATCTTGTCTGCTCATCTGACTGTCAAGGTGTAACTCCAGTCCAGTGCACCAGACCTGCTTCACATAAACTCTACCACCCCCATGTCAAACTCAAGGCCCGGGGGCCACACCTCATTGACATCTAATCTAGCCCCCAAGATGATACTTTAGATGTAAAATACTTTTATCGCTTGAATGTTTTCAGTCATTTTTGATTATGAAGTCAAAAGTGCAACAGAGAACGTCAAATGAGAACAGTCACACTCTTGTTGAGGAACCTGTGACCAAGAAAATAATGTTAGGTACCTAACTTGTCCAGAGGACCAGATTTAACTTTTTTAGATTTTTCTACCTGGATTATTGAGCATGCATCAGGGTACCTAACTTGAATTAATGTAGATTCTGAAATTGTCCCGTAGTTTGAAAAGGGGGTTAATTTTGGGCCCCTTTTATAAGTGAATTTGATGCCCCTGCTCTACCAGTTCAGCCAAGAAGAGGAGTGCTCAGATACCAGCCAGGTTTCTAGCAGCAGCACAGTGATGGGGATGAGAAGACATGAGGTCCAGGTGACATTTGTTAAAGGACATTGACCCAAACATTAGTGGCAGTTTAGAGACATGTTAGAGCTAGAAGTCCAATTTTAATACCGTGTCAATCAGAGAAAATCCACTAAAGAGCCTATATTGTGCACGTAATTATGTCAGGAATCTTTGAAGTTGTATTTTATTTATTTATTCCACCTTGGAAAAACATTGTTTTTAAAATATTACGTAAATGTTACATGCACCAGAATAAATCAAAGTAGAAGCAGCAGAGCTGTGTCTTACCTAACTAGTCCAGCCCATGCTGATCAAGCCAGGAGATTCATAACGAGACCTGACAGATCTACGTCTTCGTTTACCGGGACACATCTGGAAAACAAAGAGACAGAAATAAAGTCCAGACTTCAGAGGACAAATACTGATCCTTGTAAATGAACTGAAGCTGCTGAGAGCAAACATCTGGTCTTGTGTGTCAGAACCATTCTGGTTGGTCAGTCAAATGGTTTTTGTTTTCAAGCCTTTAGAAACTGAAAAATAAAAATCAAATCCAGCCATCCAGCCATCCAGCCATCCATCCATCCATACATCCATCCTCTTTACCCGCTTCTTCCTTTTTGGGTCACAGAGGTCACTGGTGCCCATGTCCAGCTATCACTGTGTGAGGGGCGGGGGACACCTGGACAGGTCTCCAGTCCATCACAGGGACACACAGAGACAAACAAAACAAACAACCATTCTCTCTCTCACCTAGGGACAATTTAGAGTTTCCAGTCAGTCTAACATGCATGTTTTTGGTCTGTGGGAGGAAACTGGAGTATCCAGAGAAAGCCTACGCAGCATGGAGAGAACATGCAAACTCCACCCAGAAAGACCCCCGGACTTGGATTTGAACCAGAGCAACCGGCTCGCTGAGAGGCAGCAGCTCTACCAACTGCGCTACGTGCTGCCCCAATCGGATTGTTGATTTTTTTATTTTTACTTTATCATTTAAATCAAAGCAGAATATGCCTTTCTCAGTCAGATTCAGAGCTCTGTGGTGTTGGACAGCGAGGCGTACCGGTGCACAGTTTTCCTTGGTCTTCACACACAGGTGAACTTGGCAGTGCAGGTAGATTTTGTTGGAGCCTCGTGAGAACTCAAACATGTTGAAAGCGAAGGAGTTGAAGGTTCCTTTTCCATTTTCCCTTGTTATGACCGACGAGTCTGCGGGACAGCTGCTCACAAACAGGAAACAGCCTTTGTTCAGTAATCAGATCAGAGGGTCAGAAAGCCCATTGGTGAATGGATCTCTGGTAGACTCACCCATTTCTGACCAGGTCGTAACTCCGTGCTGCAAAAGGTGATGGCTCGTCGGTCGCCCAGCAATGGTCGGTCACCAGGGAGAGCACATCTCCATCCAGCCACTTAGTGCTCAGTTTCACCCAGACCTGTTGGTTCAGCCGTATTGGTGTATCCGAGTCCACAAGTTTGTTGCAACCATCATCAATGTAGGCCCTTATGCTCAGAGTGTAATTCCAAGGTCCTGGTACCACGATGCCAGTATATGAGCTGCAGACAGGACACATATTTTTCTTTTATAGATATATAATTTGTTAAATATAAAATCTGGCAACTTAGACAAGGACAGCAGGACAGTCCCAGGTTGTGCTTAGTTTGAGAGGAGGAACTGGGGATCCAGACTGGAGGTATTGTCAGGTGGTGTGCAAAACACTTAGAGGGTCATAGTAATTTTGGTCACAATGACCATCACAGAGGAGACAGAAACAGTGGACTTAGGGCAGGTTTATAACCATGTTCTATTTTCACAATGGTCATGTATTCATAGCATCATGAAACTTATCCAGTAATAATTAAAAAATCTTGAAAGAAGGAAGCCACTAAAATAGGAACAAAACAATTTGAGATGCATGTTCATGATATGCACAACAATTGTACATCTGGATCCTAATTTTCTCCATTTTCAGCATTTTTGCACAGCTCACATCTCTACTGACAGGAGTGCCAGGAAAACGTTTGCAAATGTCAGAACTATAAAAAGACAGTGTTTCAAAGAAAATGAGAAGAGTAACCACACACACCTATCAATGACTGTGAAGGCCTTTGTCAGGATGTCCGGCTGGGTTTGGTAGCAGGAAATGTCAATCATGACCATGTCTTGGCGGGTGATGATATCAGTGACGTTCTGGTTCATGATGGTGTTCTGGTAGATGATGCTGCTGCCGTTGTTCTGCCAAGTGAAATATAAGAACCCTTGTTACTAAATGGGTCATTTAACTCAGTTAGCTGGAGGACATTTGGCTGCTTCTACAGAATAAAGCTCTGATGAAGACCACTCACTATGATCTCTGTTCCACAGGTGTCACTTTTGAAGGTGAAAGTCACCGTATGGTCTGTCTCGTTAAAACGACCTCTGCAGGTCGGGTCGTTGAGCTGTAGGGAGGTGTAGTCAATGTTTTCTTCCTCCAAGAGACAGTTGTACAAAGTTAGAGAAGCATGGTGCTTCTCGCAGACCGGTGGATGACCTGAACGTCACAATGTTGAGAGAAAAATCACAGTTAGAAGTTTTCCTCCAATAATTCAGCCCTGATGTCGTGCTGTTGCCACCACTGTCTTACCATAAGCAAAACTGTTCTTGAGTTCGCAGGCAAAATTGGCCCGACAGAAGCACCGAGTTTCTCCATACGACTTCTCAGCACAGAACTCATGATCGCTGCAGGTTGTGTTGTAACAGGAGGCTGCATGGTGGTCTGCAGAGGAACACACTGGTATGTTAGTCTGAAAACATGAGTAGAAATACATTCAGAATATTTTGATGGGCCTGACACTCAGTGGACAGTGTCCATCAATCAATCATCACCCCATCACATGGGGAGTGGTGGCGCAGAGGTTAGAAGATGGGCCTGTGATCGGAAAGTCGCAGGTTCAACTCCCAGTACCGTCAACATTAAAATGTGAGTGGAAAAGGTGAAACACCCACACCTGCCTCCACCCTCCTTTGCCCCACTCTGGGCCCCTGAGCAAGGCCCTTAACCCCCACCATGTGCTCCCTAAACAGGTCTCTCTTGAAAATGAGTTCTTGTGCCTCAATGAGACGACCTGGATAAATAAAGGGTAAAAAAATAATAATAGAAGTAGACGTACACCAAACGATTGTGTTTTGAGCGTTTTGTTGAGATCAGTCCAGTGGTTTGTGATATAGGTTTCTAAAGGAAAGACGGGGTTGACTCCATTAAATAATGCCAAAGTTAAAACAAAGAGATCTGTGGTAAAGTTACAGTTTTGGTGCTCTCGTATTCAGGGGTTGCCACAGCGAGCAAACTCGCAACAACCATTTGGCAATTGTTTTACGCCAGATGCCCTTCCTGATGCAACCCGGGCTCAAACCAACAACCTCAGAATTAAAGTACAGCAAAGTAACAATTACAGTTGTTAGAAATACATTTTGAACATAAAGTTCTAGATTATTGTATTCTGTATGGACAGAACATGCACAATTTTTTATACTCACAGACAGTGAAGTGCATGACTCTCACCTACTACCACACCAGTTAAGCTTAATATACGTTAAAATAGAGAAATGGTAAACGGACTGTACTCATACAGCTCCTTTCTATCTGATCGATACTCAAAGCTCTTTACAACAATCTGTGCCTCATTCACCCATTCATACAGCTCTATACTAGATCTCTACAAAGAATAATCATAGCTTCATCACATCATACACTGATGGGACACATATCATAGACAATGAGGGGTTCCGTGTCTTGCCCAGGGACACTTCAGAAGTGGCTGCTGGTGGAATCAAACCCCCAACTTGGCGAACGACTGCTCTAACCACTCAGCCACAGCCGCTCAGTTAAAGCGGTGTTTGCTAATCTTAGTTATCTATTGCGTCTGCTGTGTCCCATGCTTACTATTCCTGCCATTTTTTGGGTGCATGTACAAAAAGTTTGGAAAGGGGGAGGAGCAACACACAGCAGCACGTTACAATACTTTTAGTAGAAACACCTTTGAAGCTCTGTATGAGTTACAAGACGTTGAAATACGACCAAGTGATTCTACCTTGTTGTTTTCCTTTACCACTTATGTAAATCACAATTTTAATGAGAAGTTTAGGTTGGTCCCTAATGACGGCAACTTTAACTGTCTAAATGAGCGACTACATGACAGACTGGATATTTTCGTGAACCATTAAAGCTGAGCCAACAAACCCCTTCTTCGCTCACATTTTTACAGTACAAGAATGAACGTCAAATGTCGGCAATATAGTTTCCTTTTTGCCAATGTGTCTTTCAATGCTACAGGAGTTAACGTTTTCTCCTAGATCCACCCAGATGACAGAGAATGCAAATGCCAGACACCAACACGTGATCTCTTTAGAACAGATGGTGGAGTGAAGCAGGACTTACGACACTCAGTCTTGGACCTCCAGCCCTTCAGTGTGATGTTGGACTTCAGGCTGCAGGCTCTGGCGTAGGCCTCCAGGAACTGACACTTGAGGCCGTCCACTGCAGGATACCTGGACAAAGTGTCTGTGCAGGCTTCAAAGTAGGGATTTGGGTTGATGTCACAGGAGGTGAAGGGTGCCTTGTTCAGGTGGAAGCAGCTGGGAGGTGATAAATCAAGTCAAGTCAGTTTTTTAAAGTTCATTGACCGAAGCGCTGAACAAAATGTAATGTATGAAATCAGTCATTATTAAAAAGCATCAAACACAAATACAGTAAAACAACAATGTTTGGGGCGGTCATAGTCCATGTGTGCTGCTCATCTAGAACTAACAGCCAGTGAGAACACAGACAGGTGTTTCTGGTTGGATGTGCTCACCTGTCTGTGTTGTTGGGGCAGATCTTATCTTCAGCGTAGTCATACTGTGGAACACAGCTGGGGGGCGACACACAACAAGGTCAGGACTGTTTGCTCGTTCATCCAGAGTTTCTCTGCAGTCCATTCATCCAGCAGCAGCAGAGCAGCAGTCAGTGAGGAGCTCTTACCTCGTGGAGCTGCAGCCAGGGAGCCTCGCTTCACTGCTGGAGTCTTCACACAGACCTGTTGGAGGTGATCCAGTAGATCCTGGACCGGTTCAGAACAGAACGAGAGTCACATCAGCATCAACAGGACCACCAGGATGAACACAGCAGAGTTTACATTCCTCAACAACCTTATACTGGATTGTCTGTACCTTCCATTAGGATCTGTACGGTGATGCCGTCAAAGAAGATAGTCATGAACAAGTTCTTGATCTGCACCCTGGCAGTGACTCCAGTGTTGTCCTTAGAGATCTCCACATCATTAACCACCTGAGGGGAGCTGTCCAGGTTCAGTGGTGAGTTGTTCAGCTGCATGGCAGAGAGACAAAGTGGAGGAAACCCTGAGGTCAACATGTCAAACACACAAACAGGCTGTTTTCACAGCAACAACCACTGAGTTCAGCAGCATCAGAGAGCTGCTGCTTAATGTCACTGAGAGGAAACATGACAGGACACATTCTGGATCCAAGTCCACTCAGACTCACCAGAACTCTGCCGCCTTGCTTCAGGAGGATGTCCGCCCCGTCCACTTTCATCAACACACTGTCAGGAAAGCTCACATCTGTAAGACGACGCTCCAGGAAATTGACCACCACAGAGATTCCTTCACCCGTCAGCATATTGTAGGAGCACTGATCCTTTACAAAGCCCAGCTGGCTGTTGAAGTCGATGACAGAGGGGCCTGTCACAGTGCAGATGGAGTGCACTGGGAGGGGCATGGCAGAGGTGGTAGTGGGTGGAGGAGTAGTAGTAGTGGTTGTGGGTGGTTGAGTAGTGGTGATGGCACACCTAATGGAGAGAAACAAACATCATGAACTGCAGCTCCTTCCTACTATCACCTCCGGTTCTGTGTCATATGAGGCAACTTTAAAAATGTCACTAAAACCTGATTTATGTTTGGATTGTTTTTGTCCTTTTGAGCTCTCTGAATTGTCAAAAATAATATCTTTATCTAAACCATCACATGTCTGCTAGATCCCATTCCAACCAGACTGTTTAAAGACGTATTTCCCTTCATTAATAACCACGTCTTGGATCTGCTTAATTTGTCTATAATAAATGGTTATGTACCACAGAGCTTTAAGATTGCTGTAATTAAATCTTTCCTTAAGAAACATAACCGTGACTCATGAATTCAGGCCAACTATAGACCTATCTCTAATCTAACTTTAATCTAAAGAATTCTAGAGAAAATAGTTGCAGGTCAGTTACGTGAACATCTGCAGGGGAAGAGTTTCAGTCAGAGTTTAGAGCTCACCACAGCACTGAATCTGCACTGGTCAAAGTAACTAATGATATTCTCATGGCCTCAGACAATGGACTTGTGTCTCTACTGGTCCTGTTAGACCTCAGTGCTGCATTTGATACAGTTGATCACAATATTTTACTACAGAGGCTTGAATATGATGTTGGGATTACAGGAACAGCTCTAAAATGGTTTAAACCATCTGATGGATTCCAATTTGTAAATGTAAATAATGAATAACAACAAATGAATCTTCATCATACACCAAAGTTAGTCATGGAGTTCCTCAGGGTTCAGTGCTTGGACTAATACGCTTTACCTTGTATATACTTCCATTATGTAATGTTATTAAACAGCATGGGATAAGCTTTCATTGTTATGCTGATGATACACAGTTATATTTGTCCATTAAACCCAATGAATCCAATCAGCTACTTAGACTACAAGCATGTCTTAAAGACATAAAAACCTGGATGACCCTGAATTTTGAGCGGAGCTCACAGACCCAACACTTCTTACTGTTCCTTCACAATAAAAGCTTTCTGTCAAACAGATTGGAGCTCTTTCACAAAAAAAGCTTTCAGCCAAACAGATTGGAGTTCCAGTGAAACAGAGAAAAGCTACAATTCCTCCTGATCACTGCTCTGTCTTGTGAATAAAAAGGGGACGTAGTTACATGTTGTTGCCGAGACATGTCTCCATGGGTCCGCAGGTGGTGACATGGAGGGATGCAGTGGCGTTGCAGATGATGGTTTCACAGGTTGAACTAATAACTGTTGTTGTAGCAGTTTCATACACCTCACCTGAGAAACAAAGTAAGGCCTCTGTTAGTTTACAAACTCACATTTCTCAGTATTTTATCATCTGTTCACTAAAAACAGTTTGGATCCAGAGATTTACTGACCTTTGTATCTGCAGCTATTGGCTTTTTCGAAGGCATAGTATTGTCCATTAGCCATGGAGTTTGTAACACTCAGTGTACGGTGTACAATCCCATTTACCATGACATCAGTCGTCTACAAAACAACAAACCGTGTTATGACCACAGAGCAGACACCACTGAAGTCTGATTTAATGAAAACTGACAAAACTGTAACTTCTACAAATCATGAAATGTTAAAACATAGAAAAACAAAATATTTATGGGATAACTAAATCAGATGTTAAATGATTGAAGTGATTTATTATCAACTCAAATCACCAACATACTTACAGTTGTCCCCTGAACATTGGAGTGTAAACCCACAACAGTTTGTGTTCCCATGTTCACCAGATAAATTGCAAACTGCAAAGAGTAAACAATCTTTCAGCATGTGGTTGATTTGAAAAACAGTGATGTTTATCTCTATTAAAATGTAATAAACGTGGAAAAAAACCCATTATAAATTAATATAAAAACAAAGCAAAGAAAAACACTGGCTGAAGATATTTGCACACTACACATGTGTAGACTTTAGCTTTACAGAGTCCTTTAGCATCCTGCTGCATGCTGTTGTCATGTTCTTTAATGTTTAAAATGTTTAATGACGCACCAAACACAAACAACACTTACATTGTTGCCCAAAGCAAAGCTCACATAGCAGTTGAACTTGGCACCAATCAGCAGCTGAAGAATCATGGACGAAGTCACAATTTCTTGCTCTGTTGTTACATCTGGCTTTGGTCCCACTACACAGTCTTTACTGGTAGCAGGGTCATAAAAACCATCAAAACAAGCCACAAAGTGGGCCATTGATACGTTCACCTGCAGAACCCAGAAACACAACATTACTACATGTCTGAGTCATCTGTGTGTGCGAGATGGAGACTAAAGAGTTCCAGTAAATCAAACGAGTTTCACTTGACTCACGTAGACTCGGTCGTACGTCTGTCCAAAGTACGTGATGGGACAGGAGCTGATGTTGAACTCTCTGTCATCAGTAAAGGTCAGTCCAGCAGCGCCTGCAGACACAGAGACATGAGAGAAGTCTGTCAGCTCTTTGAACAACAGTCTGACTTGATGAAGGAGTAAAACAGCAGCTAAATGTCTTCATGTGTCCTGAACCTGCAGCAGCTTCTCTCTTCTCATCAGCTCTTACTGGAAACACTTTATAAACTCTTCTTACCTGGCACTGCTGTCAGAGCGAACAGGAGGAGCAGGGGGCGGAGCATGATGGAGGCGTCCAATCAGCTGACAGAAAGCTGGAAGACACAGAGGACAGAAAACCAGTTCATTTGTCTCAAGATTCAAGTAACAGAGTCATCCCAACATGAACTGAGTGCTTGTGAATTACACAGACAGTTTTCATCATTCTGCGGATCTTCAACAGAGTTAAACATCTTCAGAAGAAGAAGAAGGGGGTACTGTACAGGTATACAGGAATGAAGACTGAGTGCTGTACAATAAAGCAAGGAACACAGTGCACAGAAGAATCTGAACGGCTAAGAAGAACTACTCGAGCAAGTTGTGCAGTCTGATGTTGATCAGTGAACCACCAACTGTCTGGAAATGCCTGCAGAACATCACCAGCTACAAAAGATTGCCCTTATAGACAATGGGTGACCATCAGCTGGTCGATGAACCAAGTTCAAAAATCCCAGCTCCACCCAACAACTAAGCAGCAGTTCACATCCTCCTGACACACCCTTCCAACCAGTCTTTAAGATCTGTGAGGTAGACATGCAAATATTGTTCAAGAGACAAAGATTGAGTTTCACCCTCATACTTGAGGACCTGCACAGAGCTACTTGGGCCAGTCTTCACTTGGATCTTCAACTATTCACTGGAGCTGTGTGTTGTACCTTCTAGCTTTAAACACTTTACTATAATACCCATCCCCAAGAAGCCAGCCATCACAGAACTGAATGACTACAGAGCTGTTGGTTTAACCTCTGTAGTCATGAAATGCTTTGAGACTGGTCCTCACTCACTTGAAGGACATCACACATCCCCTGTTAGACCCACTGTAGTTTGCATACCAAGTCAGCAGATCGGGAAATGATGCAGTGAACATGGAACTCCATGTTTCCCTGCAACAACTCGAACATTAAAGAGCATATGCAAGGATCCTGTTCTTAGACTTCAGTTCTGCCTTTAGTCCCATCATCCCAGAATGACTACACAGCAAACTGACCCAGCTTAGTGTGCCAACCCCCACCTGCCAGTGGATCAACAACACCCTCACTGGTAGAGAGCAGCAAGTGAGGGTGGGGATGTTCACCTCAGGAATCCAGGCTGCCAGTACAGGTGCTCCACAGGGTTGTGTACTCTCCCCACTAGTCTTCTCCTTGTATAGCAATGACTGCACCTCCACAGACACCTGCCAAAATCATGAAGTTTGCAGATGACACTAACATCATCAGCCTCATTCATGATGGTGATGAGTACTTACAGGTGGATGGTCAATCAGCTTGTTCTTTGGAACAGCCAAAACAAACTTGAGCTGAACACAGCTAAAACAGTGGAGATGTGGAGTGGAGTTCTAGAATTGCGCCACTCAAGGTGGCTGCATGTTGGAGCAGCTCTGTTACTTTCATTCTGAGATTTTGCTTTTGGAAACTTTAATTCCTGTTTTTTCTGGATGTAAATCACATTTGTTGGATGATTGTTTCCTCTGGTATCAGATGCTGTGCAGCCGAAAGGATTTTTACTGAAACTTTTTTGGTTTTGGACATTTGTTATGATCTGTAACCATGGCAACAATGCAGTTTTCTACAACAGCAGCAGCTGATTAACATCTCAAAAGCTCAAATAATATCTCAACAATGGCCCCAACTCTCAAATGAGTTGAAAAGGATGTTCTGTGGACGCATTCTCATCTACCTGCCAGCTGTGCTCGAGTGCCTGACCACTGAGATCCTGGAACTAGCAGGAAACACGGCTCATGACAGCTGAAGGACAGGATCGTCCCTCAGTACCTACAGTTGACTGTCCGCAGCGACAAGGAGCTCGGGAGACTGCTGGGAGGAGTGGCCATCGCTATGGGAGGAGTTCAGCCAAGCATTTAAGCGGTCCTACAGTCCAGGGGAACCGAGAGGCCAGCTGAGTCTGGGTGGACGGATCGGACGGCATTTGCAGCCAGTTTCTTAGGATCCACTGTGGGATGGATCTTTACAAGAGATCCTTCCTGTCTACAGCATCAGTATCTATAACATCTCTTAATGAAATGAGGATAACGAGTTACAACAACAAATAATTTCCCTTTGGGATTAATAAAGTATTATTGAATTGAACTGAATTGAATTGAATGATAGTGGACTTTAGGAGAGACTCCCCAGTCCATCCAGCACTCACTATTTTTGACATAACAGTGATGACTGTGAAATCCATTAAGGTCCTTGGTACAACAATCACCAGGGACCTGAAGTGGGGCAACAATACCAGCTTCATAGTCAAACAAGCTCAGCGGAGGATGTACTCCTGCGTCAGCTGAAGAAGTTCAACCAGCCCAAGGAGGTGATGGTGCAGTTTTACACTGCAATAACTGAGTCTGTCATCACCACGTCCATCACAGAGTGGGGCAGTTCAGCCAGCAAACAGAACATTCACAGACTGCAGCGTATCATCACCATTGGTGTTAAGCTGCCGGCATTGCTGGATCTGCACAGCTCCAGAACCAGGAGGCGTGCAGAGAAAATCATCTCCAGCAACCCCTCACACCCTGGACACCATCTGTTCTGTCACCTTCCCTCGGGTTGGCACTTCAGCCAACTGAGGATCAGGACAGCCAGGCTACAGAGGAGTGTTTTGCCACTTGCATGACCAGTTGAAGTAAATACTAAACCCTCAGTATTTAAAGTCTGTGAACAGTGTGTGTGTTGTCCTCACGCACTTGTCCTTGTCTTTTAGCCACTACTGGATAAGCGTAGTACCCAGTATTTTAATATTAAGCAAGCACGCACAATGCAAAGCTCTGAAGTTTCTTTATAGGTAAGGCTGTGTGTAGGCCCTGTGTGGATGTGTGTTCTGTAACTGTAACCAACATTACATTCCTTGTATGTGTGAGCATACATGGCCAATAAACTTGATTCTGAATCTGACTCTTGTTTGAAACTTCAAGGAGGCGGGCAATAATGTAAAATTAACTAAACAAAACAACAAAACAGAATGATCATGGTCAGTAATTGATTTACAAAATCAGTTGCATACAAATCTCTCAAACTCATGACATATAACCAAAACCTTCTTTAAACCATTTTAAATAACAAAATAAACGTTACAGCTTGTTAACACTGAGGAAGAAGAGCCTTACAGGTGAGCTGATGATGAAGAGTGTTCAGCTGCTCTTACTTCTGAAGGAGGAAGAGGAAGATGAAGGCTGCTGGTCAGGATGCTGGTTCTGAGGCTGGAGGTGAGAATCTGCTGCTGTCTGAGCGCTGGATGCTGCTTTTATGTCTCGCTGCAGTTGTGACTCATGGGACACACCCAGGGCTACAAAACAAAATGTAACGAACAGTTGAGTGAAGATGAGTGTTTTAATTTGCATAAAACTATAACTAAAAGGTGGAACGTGTGAAAGGAACTCCACAATGAACTCTGGAATGTACCAGAACCAGAAAGCTCGTGTGTGGGCATCACGTTTTAGACAAGCCGGTCACCAAGTCAGGCTTTACTTCAGAATAATGTTGATGTGTTCAGCAGTTCCAAAACTTTTCAGTGAAAAATACGTTGCAGATGCTTGAGACACGACTATTCCTGGGAGAAGGACCCCAACACTCATAACCAGCCATTTTACAAAGAGCCTCATCAGTTCTTATAGAGGATGTATCCTTTCATGACTAGAACAGTTCCAGCTTAGCAATTATTTTAGAGTTAATTTGATCCCTGTAGATCATTGCAGGACACCTGACGTGCTGTTGAGCAACCCACAAATGGATCCTGACAGAATATTTGGGAACCACGGATTTGTA